TAGCAGAACATAGAAGGAAAAAGGGTGAGTAGATCTTTTCTAGTGGCTGGCTGGTTGGGAAGGGTCTTTTCTTTTAAATGCCCTCCACTTCAGCACTACTGATACCTTTCATGATCTCCGGTAGTGTCTGTAGCATTGGTATTCCAAAGGAGCAAACTAGAATCTAATGAGCTTATCGTGAATAAGATTTTAATGATGTATTTAAAGCTAATTTATTCAGGTTCCACATTCTTAGTCCTGAGGCTAAATGATTCTATTGTGAAAAAAAAACCCCAATTCTATAAAGTTCTGTAATATGAAGCTCAATGTAAGAAAATCTTAAGTGGCTTAGAAAGAGCTTTCTAGATCCTGGCTTCTACCAAGCTAAATATTATAAGTTGGTCTAAATATGACAGTCGGTAATTATTGATTCCTTTGTGAAAATACGCTTGGAAAAGTATCAGAGTGCCACTTAACAGTATTAATCTTTTAACAAATGCTGGCAATTTGGCCTTACCCCCCTCTTCAGCTTGTGGTTAAATAGTTTTTTTTTTCCTAAAAAATAGACAATTTATGAGAAAAAAATATATAAACACTCTTTAAGTAATTTGGCTACAAGCATCACATCACTGAAAAACTCCACAAGAAATAGTAAAATATTTTGAACGGACATACACTTTTTCATTTTCACAACATGATGAGCTAGGCTTTTTGTTTCATAAATATACGTGTGTTTGTTTTGGTAGCGGATTTTACTTGTAAGTTTATTGCTCCTGTGTTGTTTTATCTTTCCTAAGATTATAACTGGGAAATAGAGGTGCTGTCCCTAGATTATGTTACAAGGCAACATTGTATTTTTGAGACCTAGGAATGAAATTGGTAGAGCCACTGTTATTTCAGTGACCTCAAAGAGACTATGGCTAGGACAACAGTCAGACGTGCACCAGGATGCACGAAAGAATAAGTCTCCTGGCTTACTCAGGACACTTTGGTTTGGAGGAAGAGATAGAAAATTCTTAAGTGTAGCTTAGCTGCTGCCTCACATCTGTTGCATAATATAACATTTTTAAAAAAAACATGCTATGGATAAGGGGATAGAGTATAAACCATATAGTGTACTGACTCTTCTTGGCATTCTCGTAGCAGGCTTCATCTAGGCTGATGTGAGAAGCGAGTCTCAGCTGTGCTACCAGTGAACGCACACAAATGGACCTGGTGCAAATATTCCATAAAGTATTTTAAATGATGTAGCTCAGAGCCTTAGAGGCATTATAAAAGGGAGAGCAAAGGTGAGCTTGAGGACGGGGGAGAGGTGAGAAAGAGAACAGGACAACTGGAAAGGGATCAAAAAGCTAAAGTGCAATTTTAACATATAAATTATTTCAAAAGCAGAAAAGAGATTCTAAATTGCTACTGTTCACATAGGCACGTTTTTTTTTTTTTTTTCAAATTTAAATGAGTTGTTTCCTTTCCCTTCTCAGATATACTGCATAATAGAGTTTGAATGGCTTAAAGCTACTGCATATTATTTGGGAAGGGACAAAAAGCACTGAGGAAGCTGAATAGTGCAAGGTATTCTGGGAAATTGGGGTGGGGTGGAGAGAGGCAGAAATGAAGTTGTTTTTACACTTTGACAAGAAAGCTGTTCCAGTTATAGTTACTGATTCCCTTTAAGCTAAACTCTGCTTTTTAAATGAAAGAGTTTACTTTAAAAATGAAAAAAAGATAAATGTTAAAAAAAAAAAACTGTTCAGAATGTAGGTTAAAAAATAACTCACAGAGCAGTAAAAATCCTTGAAATTCTATGCACAGAGATCTAAGCAAACATTTCCACCAAATGATGGAGAATAGCCACTTGAAACCCTGAAAAATGAAAATACACATGACTATCGTAGTTTATTATGGACTAATACTCTAAAAACAAGTAGATCCTACAGAAGAATACTGTTCAAATGGAATGTTTAAAAATAACATTTATTAATAAATATCTTATAAAATTCTAAATGAATAGATTCCTGTTCAAATTTTGCTTTGGTCCTTGAATTCCACTGTATACAGACACACATACATATATATTTTCTTAGATTTTTTTTTTAACCAAAAAGAAGCACATTCTATCCTAACTGCATGGCTAGTTTTGTAGCAGTTACTGATGCTGAAATCCCCCAGCCAAAAGCTGGTCTTTTACAGAAGCTGGTTTATGATTTTAATGACAAACTCAACTAACACACTAAAATTTACTGAACAGGTAACAACCACCTGAACATTCACCATTGACACCCACTATCGGAAGAGCTCTGCATTTTGTTTCGGTGACTCCATAGGCTCTGAAGAGCGTTTGCACCTAGTAAGTCACCTCAATTATACTGTATACCGTGACAGCACACAAACTGCTTGTTGTCTCCTGCAGGCCGTGTTCAGACTGTGGCCCACATACATTGGTGTGGGGGAGGAGAAGGATGAGTAGGAGAGTAAAGGGAAAACATACACTGGGCTTTAAAATTAGTACATTGACCCATGGCTGGGATTTTCACTATACCAGTCCTGGCATCCTAGACTGAGAAATGTGTCAAGGAGAAACAACTAAGATATAGACACCTCAATTTAGGTGATGAGTCACCTGGCAGAAATGCTCTCAGGTGTACCTATCTAAGTTGTTAACTCCCCTCACATTAGGCAGGGGAGGCACTATAGACGTTCCCAGGTAGGCTAGCAGGGACTTCAGAGGCAGATCCTGCCAATAAGGAAAACCAAACACGAATGAAGGGAGGCAGTGCTTCGGGGATTTTCCTTCCTTAGCATGGGCGCTCTGAAGGCCATTATAACTGATTTGTGAAAACACGGATGGGTGACCCAGTAATTGGCTGGAAGAAGAGAATGGGGTAGAAAGATGTTCTCTCACATTGGCAAAAAGTGTAGGTCAAGGAACAGGGGTTTTCAGGCAGACTGATTATTCTGTGGTCTGGTGAAGGCTGGTCCTTTAGGTGAAATATTTAGTATTGGTAAGCCAAGTGTTGGTTTTGACCAGTGAATCTTTCTGTTTGGGATTTCAAGAAGCACCTGACAACTAGCTGGAATCTTTCACTTACTGTATTTCCATCCTGTGAATGAGCACACCTAAAGGCCCTGAGTATAACAAGAAGACAGTTTATTCTAATTATATGTTGAGGCCGGTTTGCTAACGTGTGTGGTTGGTTTGCCTATTTAGCATAAAAAACAGACATAATTGAGCTATATATAATGCACATCAGTCAAACTGTCAAGTTGCTGAATTAAGAAAACTCAGGCAAGTTCTTAACTGCAGCGGCTTTCAGTTTAGCAACTAAATATTTCAATCAAGAAGTGGAACAGAAGTAAACTAAACCATAATTTTAGTGACAGGTCACTCCCCGGACATTCTGATATTACTAGTGGATTTTTAAAAAATCCATTTTATTAAGTGCTATGCATGCAGTAAAGAAAAGTTTTTATTTACTTAAAACAAAGCAAAACATAAAACAAAAATAAAAAAATTTTAAAACCCAAACATTTTAATGCATTCTTTTTCCTTTTTGAGGGGGAGAAAGGGACACATGGATGATCCTAGGAAGAAATTTTGAAAAATTGTTTTTGATTTCAAAACAGAGATATGAATGTTAACTTCTTTTTAAAGCTATGTCCTAAACATTTCTTAGGAAGCCAGTCAGGTTAGACCATTCAGCTGTTACTGCTGGAATTAAAAAACAATAACTATGAATTCAGTATTTAAAATACTTGAAAATGATATGTTTGTCTAAAATATAATAGAAAATTCTTTTCATTTGCATTTTTTCTTTTCTTCTTCTTCTTCTTTTTTTTTGCTTTTGTTTTCATACTTTGACCATATATCCCAGTCATAAGTTTCACTGGGCATTCACAACCATCTTTTGAAAGCACTGCATACATGGAAAAGATTGTAGATAAATATTGATTTAAAAAGTAAGTTATTAGATAAAACTGAAACCAGTTATATAAAAATCATGCTTCACAACCCTCATATTTTCTTTTTTCTCCAAAATAGATTCTTATGCTATAGTGAGAGAAAAAAAAAAAACATCCTTCCCTTTTCTGAACTCTTATAAAAGCTACACCTTTTGTAAAATACTGTTCTTTTAAAACCCATCAACACACACACACACACACACACACACACACACACACACACACATACATACCCATTGAGGTCAAGCATTCAAATGGAGATGAAACACCAGCACCTGCCTAAACTGCTAGAGAGAAACATTAGCCCCTGTTATTTGTGAGATGCAATATTAAAACATTAGCACAGTAGAATGGCTTGTTTCAAGGAGGCACGACTGTGGTTCAGGGACTGTCTGCTTTTTATAACGGGCAAGTTCATGTAAGTTGTTGAAAATATAAACCAGAATTATTCAGAAGAGTAGAGTAGCCTGTGCTACATCCATGGGATTCCTTCAGCAGCCAAAGAGCACTTTAACTGTTGTGGGAGGGCTGAAAGCGCCCCTATGGAAACATTGGGTTTTCTTTCTCTCTTTGTTTCTCCAGTAGTTAGTCTACTTTCACCCACCAGAATAGCAAAGCTGGTTCCATAGGCTTAAGAAAAAAAATAATAATAAATCTTAGGCTATTAGCAGCTGATGATTGAACAATGTAATCTGTGTAGTGAATACAGCCCTTCTGAATTATTATATAGTACATGGATTTTCAACATTATAGAGAGGCCATATAGAACCAGTTGTAATTCAAGGGTGTGATGTTATAGCCCCGCGTCATAATTTGGACGTTCACAATCGAGGCTTACAAAGCTCCCTTCCCTAGTGTCTCCCCAGCTGGCATTCAACAGTGCTTCACCTATAATTAAACCACCTTTTATTTGCTCTGATTATTAAAAGCATTAAATCAGGCACATTAAACATCTCCTGGTTACTACTTTGTGAGAAGCAAGAGTTGAATGAACTTTGGCTGTGGGTGACGGATAGGCGAGGCAATGGCTAGGTCCACATTTTTGAGGTTTACCTTTTTTTTTTCTTTAAACATTATTTTCTTCTTCACATGCAATGCTAAAGGGAAACAAGATAACACGGAAGAAAGTCAAAATGATGAGTAAACAGGGAGCCCAAGAAAAAGTGGAAATGGAGAGGAAAACTGGGCATTCGAGCAAGTGGACCAAGAGGAGGACAGGTGGCGAGATGGTTGGTGGTTTTATCTGGACATTGGTGAGCTGATACCTTTTTATAGTAGGAGGAAAAAAATGTTGTGGGGAAGGCCGTGTGTTTATTTGGGATCCTGGTGACATCACAGTGCAAACTCAACATGAGTTATGGTGTCATCAGATTTCCTACCCAGTTACCTTGGATGGGTCTTACTTGACATCTAGGTATGCCTCAGTTTGCCTAAAAGCTGTGGTTTAACAAGGTTCAATGTTTCAGGCAAAGGATTGGACTGGTAAGAACGAAACCATGACTATATACAGAAAAGGTTCAGTTTATAAACAAGTAACTGGTACCAGAAAATTGGAGAAAAGCACCAAAGCATTTTCCAAGCCAATAGATATTAATTGCATAACTCCCTTTTTTCTTATATAACTAGGTATAAAAGACAACATTTCCATAATAACTATAAAAATGAAAGCCAGTCTCTGAAGGGCTGAGGAGTCTTCCAGGTCTGAGTTAATTCTAAAAATGCCCTTAAAAGAAAGGACCCATGGGATGCTACAGCTCTTCTTGGAGGCCGGGTCTGACCGTGCATTTTAAAGAATGGGGTTCAGGTCTGTTCTGTGAGTGGTGAGCTGACTGAGGGTGGAGCTTCCTACGACCTCGCTGACGGATGAGGAAGTGGTGATGGTGTTATGCTGGATGACTTGTTGCTGGGAGCAAGCTGGAACAGGACTTGCAGGAGGGCTGCTCTCCGGACCTAGGAAAAAACACACATACACACACACCCCAATATAGCTCTTTCTTGTGTGGACTTCTCCGAAACATAGTACTAGACATTTACTTGAAGTAGAAGAGTTTCACACATTTTCTTCCGGAAGTTTACTTCAAAGCTTTATTTCCAACTGTTATCACAAAGCTATGCCTTCCCAGTTTACAGCTACGAGCAAAGCCATGCTTTCTAGATCAGCGAAATGATTCTGATGTGTTTGAATCCTGGTATGTGAACTTCCCCGTCTCGTATTTTCAAATAGCCATCCATATATCAAATGTGGAAAAATACTCACATGTGGTGGGAGAATCTGTGTTGCTCAATCTAAAAAATTATTTGAAAATGAATTGACCTTCAGCCATGAATCCCTGCTCCTCCCACCATCCCCTACTCAACTAGCTTTTAACCTGCTGAGATTCCAGGTGCGGAAATTAGGGCCTAGAAGAAGGGGTCCACTGTACTTATTGGTAAACTGTGACCAGATCATTAGCTTTTCAGCCCAGTAAGTGATATGCGGTACATCCTGAGACACAGAATGGGATTCATCTGATTTATTTCCTAGCCCACGGATTTCTCAAGAAGACTGCTTGGCCACTTACAACTGGGCTCCAGCAGGCTATTTTCTTACTGGTTAGAAAATTGGAATTTGGTAGGATTTTACAACTTGAAATACCAGGGAAGGTGTAGCCAGAAATTACCAGGAGGTGGTGGGCATGATATTGGAGAGGGATCAGGAAAGAGGAATCACCCTGGGAGAACAGTCTGGCAGCCACCCAAGAATTCTAGTACATCTGTCTGGGAGTATAATCTACACTTTACTTTTTCTCTTTCAGTAAAATTCAGTGCAAAATAGTGGCAAAAACATGGACACTAAAACAAGCAAAAAAGTTGGTGACTTACTTAGATATCCTTGCGATTCTTTCTGCATGGCTGTTATTGGGCAGTCTTTATGTGTTAACAACAACTGTTTCAGCTGGGCCACCTCATTTTTCAACATAGACACTTCATTCTGGAAATAGACACAGTAAAGCCATGTTGAGAAAACCAGAAAATACAAACCCAGAAGCCCTGTACACTTTCAACAATGAAATCGCCAAACTTTTCCATTATGTGTGAAAGGCATTGAGAATATTGTTTAGAGGGGTTCATCTGAAAATTTGTAGCTTGCCTTCAATTTGGCCCTCACATTTACTGGGGCTTTCTGAAAAGACAAGGCTTTAACTTATGAGCTGAACCCCATTAAAAGGCCAGACGACACCGTAAGTGAGGGGCTCTGGAGCCAGGTTACAGAGATGAAAATCCCTACTCCACACTTACTGTATAACGCTAGCCAGGAAATAGAGCCCAGCTGAGCTCCAGCAGCCTCATTTATAAGATGGGGATAAAGAGAGTACGGAGTTCTTTAGGTTAGTGTGACGATTAAATGAGGTCATAGATGTAAAACACAACAATGCTCAGCAGGTCCTGAGCACTCAATAAATTTGGCTATCATCACTGTCACCAGCTTGGGCTGACATTCAAGATGAGGAGAAAGTGCATGTGAGGCATGTACTGGGAAGAATTATGTAGCAGGATGAGTGGCTTCAAGCTGGAATGCAATCAGCATAAGCTGACAGATCTACCATCAGATTTCCCCAAAGATGTCCCACGTGGGCTACTGTTCAGCAGAGCACGTCCACCTGCCTGATGCCCGTGTAGCAGGAGGCGTGGAAGACGTGATGCAAATGTTGATTATCTACTGGTGCAATGGCATCAGCCCAGGCAGGCAAGAGGCAACGACATTCTGGGCCATGATTGACTTAATTTGATGAATTCATTAATTAGTTTGGCTAATTTCAGTCTATAAACTCTTTTCCTCCTCAATATCAGGCTGTTGTGGATGGTGGTTTTTTTGTTTTTTTTTTCGTTTTCCTTATTTACTCATCTAAATGCCACAAATCTCTATATTATGTAGTAATTCACAAAGGCATGCTCAGAGCTTTGTAGAATAATGGACTTGGCACCCATTGTCTATAAATATAAATGTAGAATAGATGGTTGGCTCCAAGGTGCTTCCACTTGATAAAAGTAAACTGTAAACATAGTGCTATCTTGAATAAGCCATTTTAAAACTGTGACAAATAATACCCTCTCTCTAGCCAAGGTTCATTTGTGCCTGCCAGGCATTTTCCTTCACATGTCGGAAACTTTAAAAAAGCATGCACACAGAAAAGGGCGTTTAACATTGCTGTCATTAAGTTATATCTACACTCGCAATATGAACTTGGCTTTTCAGGCATGTACTTATCACCTAGGAAAGCAAGTTCGGGATTCTAGAATCTACTTAAAAAAAATTCAAACCTGTTTTAAAGAATATCTCCTATTTCCAAATTCCTTTGTACAATACATTATAAGCAACCACATATGGAGTAACTTTAATGACAAAGTCATAAAAGTCTCATCTACAAAAGCTTTTCCTTTAATCTTCCAAACTTTACAAAGTAAAAATGTTTATTTTGGAAATTATCCTTAATGATGAATAAAACCACTTAATTACACAGGAAAATTGCTCTTAAATCTGAGAACATTCATGAAGGTGAATTGTACCCTCCCCAAAGGAGTATGATTGATAAGAGGCTATGTCAAACCCAAAAGTGACCCTGTCAATTCCAGGGTCAGCAGGAAAATTTTATTTATAAATTAATTTTATTTATAAATTAGGACAAATTATTTTAGTCTTAAACACTAATCTTTTCCTTTCTGATCTTATGCCTATCTAAATTCTGACAGCCTTCCTTGTTTTTCTTAGTTTCTCTTGTGCATAAAATAGTATATATAAAAGAAAGTCACCTTAGACCATTTTAATCCCTGGTTAAAAACAAAACAAACAAACAAAATCAAAAAAAAAAGGAAACAAAGATGTGCTAATATATATATTTGCCTCAGAATAGAATGTCATATTATTTGCATTTGAACTACAGACATAACACTGAAATCACAACTGCTGGACACCTGAACCCTGAGCAGAAGCTCTCAGCTGCAGATAATGCAGATAATGGATCTTAGAAAATGGAATAAAGTTCACATTTTTCTACTGTGACCTAGAAAACAACAAACAAGAAAAGTATTAAAAGGAAAACTGGGTTCTCTTGCTTTCTTATACTTCTGGAAGAAAAAAACCCAAATCCTATCTGGGGAACGTCTTGGAGAGGTTGAATTTAGGCTCCATTTCTTCCCCCACTGTGTCCTGGGCAGTCAAACCCTGTCTAGGCAGCATTCAGTCTCCCAGGCACAAAGTGTTCATCGCCCCTTCCTCAAGAAAACACCCTGAATTCCATCCTCTGGGTTTGTACAGTTAGCAAGGAGCTCACTGCCTATGATATTTGGCACGCCCCAAACTGTTTCACAATAAGCCTTTTGCTTCTATCAGGGTGTTTTACTGCAAAACAGCACCAATCACAGCTCTGAATGGCATACGTGGTATCCTGGCCTATCACCAAAGCCCCATACAAAATATATGACTTCAGTGGCATTTTGTCTATGAGCAGCAAAACACTTGCTTAATAAACCAATATCGAGTAAGTATAGAAACCAAGGCCCCGAGAGTTGAGATGATCTGTAAAAATGAAGAACCCAGAGAATATTGTGATAAGTGTCCATCACTTACAGATATATGTGAGTATGGACATATTTCTTAATGGAATGTGCCAGTAATTATGTTATTTAGCCATGATATGGTTGAAAAATGAATACCAATGAATATCCTCAATAGAATAGACACTTATTCTAAGAGTAATAATAGGTCAATCCTTTTACATGTTCATTTCACAAAAAATTATGCTCAGGTTATTGCTTACCTTATTTCACCAGACTCAGTCTCAAGTGAGCTTGGTTATTTCCACATCAAATCTACCCTTAGAGAAAGGATGTTTTTCCATCGTTGACTGTTTTCAAGTCTATAATCTGAGCCAAGCCCAAAGGAGTGACCATATTTCAGAAATGCTTTCATCTGTACAATATTTTATATATGCTATTGTATGCAGTGAACAAATATTAAAAATCCAAAATTAAAAAAAAATCCTCAGTAGAAAAAAAGTAATCTGCCCTTATTTAGATCATATAGCCTAGGCAAGGAATTTATGAAGAAAACCCCACAGGCAATTACAGCAACAACGAAAATAAATAAAAGGGACCCAATCAAATTAAAAAGCTTCTGCACAGCCAAGGAAACTATCACAAAAACAGACAGCCTACAGAATGCGAGAAAATATTCACATGCTACACATCCAATAAAGGGCTGATAACTATAATCTATATAGAACTCAGGAAAATCAGCAAGAAAAAAATCAAACAACCCCATCTAAAAGTGGGCCAAAGACATGAACAGAAACTTTTCAAAAGAAGATAGAATAATGGCCAGAAAACATATGAAAAAATCCTCAACATCTCTAATCATCAGGGAAATGCAAATCAAAACCACAATGAGATAACACTTAACTCCAGGGAGAATGGCCTTTATGAAAAAGTCCCCAAACAATAAATATTGGAGTGGATACAGAGAGATAGAAACACTCACACACTGCTGGTGGGACTGCAAACTACTAGCACAACCTCCGTGGAAAGTAATATGGAGATACCTCAAAGAGCTACAAGTAGAACTACCATTTGATCCAGCAATCCCATTACTGGGCATATACCCAAAGGAAAAAAAGACATTCTATAAAAAAGACATCTGCACTGGAATGTTTATAGCAGCACAATTCACAATTGCAAAGCTGTGGAAACAGCCCAAGTGCCCATCGATACATGAGTGGATTAATAAAATGTGGTATATGTATACCATGGGGGTCTACTCAGCCACAAAAAACAATGGTGATCTAGCACCCCTTATGTTATCCTGGATAGAG